AAAAATGTAGTATTGTACTCATAGCTACAATTATAGAAACGATATAACCTCTACTTCATTTGTAAATGAAACAAGTTGTAACACGCACTTTTACAGGCAACACAGAGCCACCGCTAACTCAAAAATTCTCCAAGACTTGTACAGCACCCGTTCTTTGTGTATAACCTGCTCTTATGTCAACGTAACCTTGTCACAGCAATATGATTTGCGATAAATACCGTCGAAAGTTTGGAGTAACATTGCTACATAAAGTTACAACAATTACTTCTACAAGCAGCAGCTAAAGTAAGGGGGCATTCATGATAAGTTGACCCGCGGACTAACACATCACCAATATAATATGGCCGACCCACTTGAAAGCTTGCCGCTTTATTTCATTCGGCCATATTGGATCCACAGATATTTTAGTCCGCAGATCAACTTCTGTTTTGAATGCGGGCTAAGGGGTCATTTAGAATAGAAGATCCGAGTATCAACTGTTCCAAGACTCAAATATGGCAGACATTACATGAAAGGAAGAGCACTTAATCCTCTTATGGTCATTCCACCTCTCACACGCCTTCCCACGCGTCGTCCCTGCAGGGGCTCAATAATTAAATCTCGGTTCCAATCGACCAAATGCGTGGGGAGGCGTGTGAGAGTCGGAAAAACCATTGCAGTGGTCTTCCTTTCAAGTAAGGTAGGCCATATTTTAGCCTTGGACCTGTTGATACTCGGATATTATATTCTGAATCCACCCTTAGATTTTGCTAGAAGAGAAACACTTTACCGATGATGTCATTCCACAGGAGTTTTCTGCCAGTGTGAATGTCGCATGAGTCCAGTTTGATTGTGAGCCAATAAACTTTGGTTGACAGTTGGGGTCATCTTTATAATCCGCGATGTACGTGTTCGCGTAATTAGCGTCGTTTACTACGACTATTATCACTTCATTTGGGCTCACTCCGCAGCGATAGGTGGCTGAAGTAGATTTAATAGAAATAATTGCTTTTTTTTTCTATTGATTTAAACATTTTCTGTCCACTCTGAAGAAGAGCTAGAGATGAGATGCTCTGAAATTTAGACCGAATGCTTCATTTATGTCAAACTTTCTTCACGTCTCACTCATGTCGAGAAAATTGGTTCCCAAAAAGATTATTGTCAGTGAGAATTTGATATGAAGATCAAGAAGGAATAGGACGTCCTATTTAAATCGGTAAAACGTAGCACTGCACAGTCTTCATTTGCGCATCTAGAGAAGTGTATGGAGTGGAGAGGAGAACCTAAGGGGGATCATATAACTTGAACAGATTCTTAATTTCCCGAATGAGCCACTGACTGTCAGTGCGTTATGAAAATTCCAAGCATGATTTTTTAGTTTTAGGATAGACGTATGAGAGAGAGAGAGAGAGAGAGAGAGAGAGAGAGAGAGACTTACCAGATGAGTTGGTCGTGTCAAGAATAAAGACAGCCAAATAAACTTGGAGACACTAAAATAATAAAATAATAGTTTAACCAATATTTAAAAAATGACCTGATGCCAACGTGTGATGGCCATACTAAATATTAAGCAATTATTTTAATATATTTGCAAGTTAATTAACACAGCGTATAGATCCTACATTTAATTAATAATAGCTGCCATAAACCACGTCTGTTTCCCAGATGCTGACCAAAGTGTTGTGCAGATTTATGACGAGCAAAAAAAGACAAAATATTCATATTACCCAAAGAGCTGCAGCAACCTTCATTGTACTTGGAAACTGAAATGAAACGCGATTTCATGTTATAAGAAGGAACTGCGTTTAATTTGCTAACGGTCGTTTTTTTAAATTTCATTTAGAAATTTACAACCATATGTCTCTTTTCAAACTTTGTTTTTACAGGCACTTAGACATATTTTTATCGGAGATTCCTCCAAATAACTTTTTTTATTTTGCTGACCACATGGTAATGAATGACTGTTTTTGCATTTGTTCGTGGTTTCGAAGTTTAATTTTTATAAAAATTAATAATCAATATTTCAAGCGTGTCACATAAAAACCATTTAATTGGGAGTGGTCCCTGGCATACACTTATTATTTGTGTCCATGAAAATCTTTGATGGATACACCTTATAAGAAATATATTTGAGCAGGAAGCCTCCTGGAAACAGTAGTCCTCAAACCCAAGTTTAACCTACCTCTTTACCGGTCCGTTTGACACTCGAATTATCTGCGAATATCCTCAAAATACGAAAAAAAAAAGAGATTAAAGCCACTCCTTTCCTTGCCCAACACGGCAAAGGAAGCTGCGTGTGAATTTATACACAGCACTGAGTGATAGCTTCTCAACAAACTGACCAATCACAGCGACGCCACCGAAGACGGTAGTTTAGATCTACAGTTTTCCAAGAAACCGTTTTACATGTTGCCCCGGGTCAGTGAAGATCTAGCATGGCTATATATATGTCAAAGGCCCGGACCAAATCTAGTCCTATGCATGAAAAGCCCAGACCCCTTGTTTATTACGCCCTGGCTGGGCCCATTCTTTATGGTGTCTTTGCATTGTTAACAGCATAATGGGCGAGTTAATTGACCAAGTTAATTGGCCAAGCTGCCGGTTTGTTTGTATGGCATGTGCAGAGGATGTCTTAGATCAAGGCACATATTATGATACTTACAGGTGTGGCAAATGTGATATACTTGTATTTCATTACCTGTGATTTGTAAAATACATCTGAGGATGATACTTTTAAAGATGTTTAATGTTCAAAGGAAAGACATGTAGATTGATTTTGTAACATTTACCAATACAAAGAAATGTTAAATTAAAGGTGGACTCCATTTGTTAGTGTGTTATTTTCAGGCCTTCCCAACTACCAGACTCGGCACCTACGGGTCCAGTATAAACCGGTTTATCAGACCCCACTACCCGTTTTCAAGGTGTGTGTCAGATCGCATAAAAGAGTATCAGCCACCACACCGATTTTGCCTGGTGCGCAATGTGATAGCAATGATCCTAAGCGGGGTTGGAAAGTAGTGCATCTCATCTAGATTCATGCGCTGCTGCAATTTTCTGTTTATGCTAAAATCTGACAGTACCGCAATTTTTAACATAAAATTTAGGTTCGGACATAGCCAATGATGTTTTGTAAATAAGAACTTGCAAACTTCTATATTAATTTAGAAAAGTAGACCTAATTTTGATAGCAGAAGCATATTCTGTCGGGGGTTAAATATTTTCGTGACTACCGGGATGGACGAGATTGAGGGCAGGGGTAATCCTAGAGAGGGGTGAGAAACCTCCATTGTTCTAGTCAGCGAGGCTGTCCTTTTTCAGGGTTTGTACGCACGGACAGAAAACTTAAGTATTGTGGGAACGTTACTAATGAAGCCACTGGTAGTACTACTAGTAGATATCAGCCTGTACTCTTTAACAAGCGCCTCGATGACGAGTGAACAGTTGTCAAAAACAAAAGACCCAGGTGTGGTAGTTCAACTACTGTTGATGCGTGCCGCAACGACCAAACCTAATTGCTCCTCAAGGTCACAAAACAATAACCGGTACTGACGGCTAGGCTCGTCTTAATCATATAAGTAGCGCGTTTCCACCCCCTGATTGAGGGAGTCGTCTGTTGTATTCATGCGACTCCTACTTGACGAAAACGAGGCGCGATACCCGGATGACAGGTAGGCTTACAGAATTTGTGATAGGGTATGATACTCTTTTATGCGATCTGACACACACCTTGAAAACGGGTCGTGTGGTCAGATATACCGGTTTATTCTGGACCCGTAGGTGCCGAGTCTGGTAGTTGGGAAGGCCTGATTTTAGTTATCTAGATTTTATACAGATTATAGGAAAAAGTCTGCCCTTTGTTTTGTTGACCTTTTGGGAAAATCTCTGCATTTTCTTAAGGATAAATTACAGAGAAAGGTGTGAATAAATAGAAAAACTTTGTTCTATTTGCAGGCACAGCAATAAAAAACTCCCTAAAGTTATAATATATTTTTATTTACATCATAATCTATGCCAGTTTAGAACACTGATAAAGTCGATTCATTAGGATACATTTGTTAAAACTAATAAAAACTAATAAATGTTACATAAGCATGATACCAATTTATTCCTTATCCTATATTTAATCCTTTATCCTTATTATTTTAAACATAAAAAAAAAGTTTGAAAAAGGTCTTTGTAATTTATCCTTTAGAAAATGCAGATAATACAAAGACCTTTTTCACACACTAACAAATGAACCCCACCTTTAATTTAACATTTCTTTAGTAAATGTTACAAAATCAATCTACATGTCTTTCCTTTGAACATTAAACATCTTTAAAAGTATCATCCTCAGATGTATTTTACAAATCACAGGTAATGAAATACAAGTATATCTCATTTGCCACACCTGTAAGTATCATAATATATGCCTTGATCTAAGACATCCTCTGCACATGCCATACAAACAAACCGGCAGCTTGGCCAATTAACTTGGTCAATTAACTAGTCCATTATGCTGTTAACAATGCAAAGACACCATAAAGAATGGGCCCAGCCAGGGCGTAATAAACAAGGGTTTTTATGCATAGGACTAGATTTGGTCCGGGCCTTTGTCATATATATATAGTTCCAGCTGCGAAGTCCGAAACGCAGAAGCATATTTCATAATATACTGGCGGAGTTTTTGATATTTTATACTTCAGATTCAGATATAAGAAGCAAATAAAAAAAACTCTAAAATAAAAGTGTCTGGTGGCAATATTTCCTTAAGAGATATCGAAAGGCAAGTGGATAGGAATGATTCAAGGAAATTGGTTATACAAAAGATCAAACCCAAGGCAGATAGCGAAATATGAATGATTCACTGTACTTAAATGTACAAAACATCAAACCCAAGTGTAAGGAGGGTCAAACAGTAATTCGTGTGTGCGGGATATTTGCCTTTTGCCGTGAAAATCCCATCTAAATGCAACCGTAGACTGAAGTTGTTTTGTGAAAATTGGCTCGGATAGCAGACTGCCCGAGTACCGTGTATGTCATTGGCCCCATTCAGAATAGGACTCCGACCGCATTCACAACGATTTGAGCCAGGCTTTACAAATCCTGAGACTAAATATGGCGGACGTACATGAAAGGAAAACCGCCTAATCTTTTAATAGTCTCTCCGCTTCTCACACGCCTCCCCCCACACGTCGTCCCTGCGGGGTACAGTCATTAAATCTCGGCTCCGTTCGCCATATTTAGTCTCAGGATTTGTAAAGCCTGGCTCAAATCGTTGTGAATGCGATCTAACTAGTCCGAGGATCAAATATGGCGACCCTCTTCAAAGCTTACCGTCTAATCCGATAATAGACAATGAATAGATTTCCCTTGGGGAAGTATTCAAGTGGGTAGGAAGGATTTTCCTAATTTTTTTCACAAACTATCGAGAGCAAATCAAGTAACAAACGAGTAGATTGACAGTTATAGTTAATTAATTAAATATCTTTGTCTGTTAGCAACATTATGCAAAAAGCTGTGGAGGGAATATGAGAGAGAAATGGGCTGGATGTAATAATCATTAGATTAGTTTATTAATTTTAATTGTTTATTAAATTAATAATTTTCAGAATTTAACTTATCAATTAGTGGATAAATAAATTAATAACAATATTGAAAATTGAGTTGATTTTTTGATTTATCAAGTAATTAGTAAATGATTACTACTACTAATAATAATAATAATAATAGAAAAAAGAGAGAACTGAGCTGCCTTGCTATAGAGATCTGTTTTCTTTGAGTGTTTTTCTCGTTTAAATACTTAAAATTCTTATATTTTTTTTCTAAATTCTTAATCGTACGTTATGGTGATAAATAATGTAAGTAGATTATGGCAGAATTTTGAAGATAGTTGACTTGGAATCGGTGCTTTTATTTTTTATCAATAATCGTGCACAAAGTTTTAGATTTTGAATTTTATATTTTTAAGTCAGGCTAACACCAACTTCCATAAAGAAAGGGAGAATGGATTCTCTGTTACACGGACCCTCAGTTTCGTCACACCGGCTTGGGCAAAACACTTCTTCGCTTAGAGCACTCGGAACTACTCGGATGTCTCCGCACTCGACAATGACCTCGGACGTAATACGGAGGCAGCCATTTTGATTGTTGATTGTTGGGAAGGAACTACTTTCAACCTCGCGCTAATTTAAACCTAATTCTTTCAACGCCTGTATCTATTTATCTTTTAAATCAAAGTCAAACTAAGTGCATTGTTTGGCAAACTGTAAAGCATCATAAAAATCAGGGGTGTTGACAGACATCTTTATGAGCAGAATAATTGATTGAGTGAGAAGGCATTTCCGGCGGACAAAATGCATGGATTTGATGCATATTTCTCCGCCTATCACATCCGAGGTCAGTATGGAGCTTGCGGAATGAGCCGAGGATTGCCGATTGCGCTTAGAGTACATTCTCAGTACAGTACAGTACAGTACAGTACGTCAAATTAAGCTGAATACATCATGTAGGTTTAAAAGCTTATATTTCTGTCCCTACAATCATAGTAAAAAGAGGTAAGGATTACTTTAACAATGTAACAGGGATTTTACAATCACGCTTTTTAGTCTCTTTTTTGCTTGCCATTATTTTTGAAGGGAGGAGTTACTACAAAAGTATGTAAGGGGCGTGCCCCCGCCCCCCCCCCTCCCTCCCCGTACAATATTTGATCACCAGCAAGAATAATTTTTTGGAAATGCCAGTTTAATTTTTTTTTTTTTTTACTGCTGAAAAATGTGCAGCTGTACCTATGGGTAAATGCTATATTCCCATTGAAATCTGCACTTTTTATGTACAGACACAGATGTGTCTGTACATATAGCCATCATCTGCGTCTGTCGTCGCCGTCGTCGCCGTCGTCGCTGTCGTCGCCGTCGCCGTCGCCGTGCACTTTTACCGATAACACAATAAGTGGAAAACCATTTTACCTTTTGACTTGAAACTTGCAGAACTGATGAATATT